CTGTAGATTGTCCCGTAAAGCTGACACATCCAACCGTCTGAAATTCCATTGCCTGTTGTTGGTGGGATGCCTTAGCTCGGCTTCGCTGATAAAACTAAAGGTTGTGACGGCATGATCACTCTTCCATAAGGGAGGCAGAATTGAGGGGTTTTCAGTTAGGTATTCTCCCTTCGTAAATACCCGGTCTAAGCGAGACGGCATCTGACTGTTTCTCCAATGATCTGCCGACTTCATATTTTCAAATAATCTCAGCACCTCAATAACTGAATAACCGAGATTCAGTAGAGTTTTCACCTCCAATAAACGTTTGTTCCGCGAAATTCACTTTAGGAAGATTGAAGTCCTCTGACATCAGGACATGAGGGAATACGAGACGAGTAGAGTGAGATAATCCTCCTAGCATACGTTTGTCTTATCGATGTCAGTAGTGGCCCTGTAGATGACTCCAACTAGACACCTCGAAGTTATAGACAATTTTGCTGAGCACCATACGGACTCATCAAGATTGATAAACTCTTGTTTGTGCACTTGATGTACCTTCAGGCAAGATCGTAAGTACAAGCCCACTCCGCCCTCGATTCCTGTATTTCTATCATTGCGAAACAAAGAACTCCCGGGTATTGTTAGCTCCTGGTCCGTAAACTGAGAAGATATCCAAGTTTCAGATATTTCTATCATATGAGCATTATTAGTATTTCTGAATTCACATAGCTCATCCATTTCATTCGATAAACTCGCAGCGTTCATAAATAAGCGGTTTGTGCTTTCAATTTGAAATGCATGAGCTTTCCCGTCCTGTTTATTTGCATGGGTCTTGTGTTAATGGACAGGTAACCTACGTACACATGGTTTCCCAAGTTGGTAGCTCCTGTTCTTTCCACATTTTTTATGATCTAGACAGTTCACAAGTAGAATTGTCAGTTCCAACTTGCCTTTGTGTTTGATCCTGGTGTCATGTAGACTATCCAGATGCATATGGATTCCAGTTGGCAACCTGTGTCTGTGGTCACAAAATGCTTCCAAATTTGCAGCCTTCATATGAGGGGTGGGAAGGTTATCTCTATCATCCGGGATCTAGAATCTCCGTCACGATTACGAGAGAATCATCGCGAACCGTTACTGTTTTCCCAAGTTTTCGTGTTTTTTCAGGTTGAGGACCTTTTTGTTTGGAGGTCGAGGCGTGTTTCCGATACCTACGCTCTTTGCTGACCGGTTAAACATTCTTGGGGGTAGACTGTGCGGCCAAGTCTTCAGTTGACTTCACAGCAATATTTGGGATGTTTAGCTTCTTAGACTTTGACACCCGGTCCTTTTTAACTTCGTTAACGGTGTCCAACACCTGCAGAGTTTTTGTGGACCACCATTGCATTCGAGAATCCTGTGCTGTTGCTCAGCGAAACCTCAGCACCCGTGTTACACGTGACACACACCCATTTATGATTGGACTTACTAAGTCTGTTGTTGGCGTTTACTGTAATGTCTGTGGACGCTTTATAGAACCAACCTTTGCAATGGCCACACTGCATGCCAGATATAACAGCAAAAGGGCAAGTGGGTAGCTTGCTTGAATTCTTCGTGACTATGACGACTTAAATTGTTATATAGATCCCAGCAAAACTTTACGACCATAAAAAAACAGTTCACTGAAAATGGATAAAAATTGGTGGTACAAAATGTTAGGATAAACTGAAACTAGGCTTGACATGAAAAACCGGATAGTAAGCTGAGGAAATACCACAGTTATTTATTAAATTGGCTAAAACTCAGAAAGTAACTTACCGAACGTAAAGCTGAGGGCAGACTCATTAGATCAGAAATGGTACATTTTTTGCGTAAGGAGACAGCAAAAGTTTGAGGAATACAAATCACGTTAAGACTAAACTTCCCGTTCTTAAAGCGCGTGCGTGTTGATTATGTTTACGTATTTCATAAGACTGGGATACACAGGCATAACTGAACACGCGTATTTGTTAACTAATGACGACATGTTTAGTAGTTCATACAACAGAGCTTCTACAAAACCTTCATCCCCATTAGTAGCTTTAAATACTTTTGAGCACTGAGGCTCTATCACTAAATTTTAGTATTAATTATAATCATATCGAGGAAGATAGGCATATAAATGTTTAGCAATATTTGAAGTGGCCATCTAGAAAACATCATTTGAGCAAATGATCTTTTTTCAGGTGACATGTCTTCATACTGCTCGGCTCTATTCTCAACTTATTTCGACCTGTACTACAGAGAAAATTCAAAATTTAACAAAAGCTTTAGAATTTTATGTACAACTGGTTGCTCTCGCAGAAAACCATATAAAACGTGATGCCTTGACGCCGATAAAGGATTGTGAGGAATTAAGAATAGCTAAAGAAATGGTCGTCTTATTACCGGTTAAACTCAGCCGACTATCTCAAGGTGAAATCTTATCTGATTAGCCGAAACCAGGCAAATAACTGTCCCTCATTTAATGTATATAAACTTTGAACTGACTTATGTTTGTGTGGCCGATTATGGAATAACCATTACCTGGTTCGTGTTTAAATACTCCAACATTTGTCCTGTAAACAGTTTTCGGTACCATGCTCGCCCTCAGTCAATTTATTACCTATATTACTAAAAGAACTCTGAATATCCTTGTCTTTGTCTTACTGTTCATTGGGTTCAACAAAGAGTGGGTTTAGTAAACAATGCACATTTATCTCTGATTAGTGCGTCTATGAGGTTAAACAAAGTTGTGAAAACTGTCAGCGTTGGCTTACTGTGTCATTCAAGACTTGCGAGTTATTGGTTTGCAATCGAAAACATTGTAGTGACTAAGCGGTTCATTATAAATATCCGTATCTCAAAAGTGAACTTGGAATGGTATATATTCAAACAGCTAAAGGAGCATCTTTTCGAAGATGAGGGTAGCCTAACTCTACCGTCCACATTTGAGCCGCTAGATGAATGTGAACTGACGTTGCAGTCTGCGTTATACTGGGTAGACTTCAGTAAACACAAGTCGAAAAAACCTCCTTTTCTCATTTTACTCAGGGAAACTTTTTTGTAGAACGGTACGTTACTATTAATACCAAATTATTACTACCCAGAAAAAAAGTTACTGATTTCACACAAGTGTCGGGTGTTACCATACGTTATGGATCAATCCGAATATTTTATCCTGTTAGATTTCACCAAGAGTCCATGACATACGTACCATTTGTATGTTGCCACTATATAAATTCAAGGTAATACCCAACATACCATGTTCAGCTGAAAAAATGTTTACCCTTACTACGCATAATAGGCCCTTTTTAGATGGAAAGTTTAGGACAATATAAGCACTGAAATCCACCGTCCTCAAGATGAACGATCTTATAAGCAAGTTATTAAAGCACAAAAGTTACATTGAATACGTACATATGAGAAGCTAAAATTTTGGTTACCCTAATTCTGAAAGTCCATAGTGGCAAATAAATCCCTGGAATAAATAGTTCTGTAGGTTTTCAACATTTATGCTGAACTCATTAGTTTTACTAGATGCACTATAGCTGAAGAACCTTGGTTACGCATTCGAGCCAGATCACAAGTGGGTGCTTTGTGCAACGTGTCTCTTGCACCTAAAAGCCAGCTTAGACTAAACGCTTCTGAATAAGTTGAGAGCCATCCCACACATATCTCCGAACTCATTCATTCCTGACCTCCGATTTGACTGGGCTGGTAATCTTCGATTATAAAGATGTTGTGGACAAAGGTACTGGCTAATACTGGATATCTGTGGCACCTTTATCAAACCACTCAGTGATACTTATCATAATTCCTTTAAAATATTTTGGCTGCAAATTTTGTTTAATTTTACCCGTAATAATAAAGTTGTACGATTACGTTGTCCGATACAGAGATGTTCGACCCACACACCCGTATATTCACTTTAGGGTATAATATCTGGCAGATTATGTGATGGTCAGTTGCATTAAATCAGTTTTGTTGTATAATTTACACCCAGTGGCGCGATTTAGTCAGGTGCTTTGCATGTCAATCCATATAATATCCACTTGGCCGTCCAGTTATCTCTTTATCGGTCATATTTTATTGATATAATGATCTATTAAGATTTGAGAAATGTTGGCAGGACGCTTTGGAGAATTCGTATACGTTACAGAATAGACTTGAATCGTAAGATATTGGCTTCACGCCATATACTGTGGATTTTCAGTGTGACCTTCCCTCTAATATAGTTTGTAGTGTGGTGTCGAGTAGCGCTTGACCATGAACACCACTAAAAGATGACTACGTGCCAGTTAACCGATGAAATACCCGTAAGCCGAATATCAGAAGGCAGCTGATGGTTGCAGTAAAGATGTATTTGTTGGCGATCTCATGGTATCGAGAGGATACCGAAACCGTGCCCAAGAAGTACAGGCGTAATTACCGAGCGTAACCGAACCCATGCAAGGTCAAAATCAATGAAATGGTAATAATATGACTGTCTTGAGCACAGTTAAACAAACGAACACAGTAAAAATATCACTGGTACAACTGCAAATGTTTGTTTCCATTAAATCGCTTTCTCTTGTTAAAAGTAGGTCACTACAAGTTGTTGGTGATTCTATTGTGTCCCAGTATAAATCCAAATAAATCATAAAGAGATCTAATTCAGGTGTTAATTTGGCACGACTATCAAGATAGCTAAGGTTCCTATACCACTGAATTCATTCGATCGCTTTAACATCTCATCTTCTTGCGCCAGTATCCCCGCATTATTGCCTTGTTCGTGGTTTGCACTGTTCGGCTCTTACAGATATTGGTTAGTGTTGTAACGCGTGTGTGTGACTGCAGGTTTTTGATAAGCAGCGTTATTTATCGATCGCGATCTGTGACAGTGACACGGAAAACACGTACGGACGACCTAGTGCCCTGATTGGCCCTGCTTCGCTGTCCGTCCTAGCCCAGTTGAGTGAAGAACACAAGTCACAGCCTCTGAGTTATGAATCACTATATTTCAAACATACTTTGTTATATACCAAGCAAACAAACCACATCGTACCATAAAATAGGAAACAACATTTGTACAATATTTAACAAGTGAAATAAACATCGACCAATAAGAATGTACATTTAAGGTTCAAGGACACCATTGAACTTAACATGGTAATTATTGGTCTCTTTTTCCGACTATCCCAACACCTCCCCTTTTTCGAAAGATGCGGAGTTCATATCTGCGTTTTAAAATTTTCTGCGTCCGTCCTCCCCCGCGAAATAACGTTGGGTCCTCATATACCCAAGTAACAGTTAGTCTGACTCTATTTAAAGCATATTTCGCGCATTGAGTAGAGGGTTCACTAAAACTGACTAGATGATGAGGATTAGCGACACCAGACATGAGGTCATTAAGGTTTGATTCTTGTGAAACATATTCATCAGACCTCTTCAAAATTCCAGTGGGTAATAGGTCACTAAAATAGACAGCATCTTCGAAATTTGTATTTGATTTCTGACCATTATTTGATGCACGGGAAACATTTTCCGGCACGAGAGGTTCTTCTTGTAAGCTGGATACCTCACATGTTTCAGGCACAGTGGGATTTGAACCCACAACAGGGCATGCTTCTGAATTGGGCACTTCTGAATCGCTGGACGGATTATGAGCGACTGCCTCATTTGCATTACTGATCATAAGGGATTCATGGAGGCTTTTGTTTTTATCTTCATATGTCCTGCAGTCATTCTCGAGTTCAGTTTGTAAGTGAGAAATGAATTCATCAGTTTCTTTCACATCTCCGAAACATGGGAGATCTAGCAGTCGCGTTCGTAAATAGTCCAAAACACGCTGTTGCTGGCGATATAGTAGTAGCTGAAATTGATCGGGAAGGCTAGTCATTTTCTGAGTCAGCAGGGTAATGAGAAATACTGTAATCAATTAACAACCAATGATTCCCAAGGACGCCAATGAAAAATCTGGATACTGATTGGCCAAAATAATTATGCTGAATCTCGTCCAATTAGAGGGTTCAAAATTTTCCCTACCCCGTCGCCAATTGTTGTAGCGCGTGTGTGTGACTGCAGGTTTTTGATAAGCAGCGTTATTTATCGATCGCGATCTGTGACAGTGACACGGAAAACACGTACGGACGACCTAGTGCCTGATTGGCCCTGCTTCGCTGTCCGTCCTAGCCCAGTTGAGTGAAGAACACAAGTCACAGCCTCTGAGTTATGAATCACTATATTTCAAACATACTTTGTTTATATACCAAGCAAACAAACCACATCGTACCATAAAATAGGAAACAACATTTGTACAATATTTAACAAGTGAAATAAACATCGACCAATAAGAATGTACATTTAAGGTTCAAGGACACCATTGAACGAAAACAGTTGTAGTTGAAGTCATGCCAATATCATTGTCAGTGGGTGAAATCGTTGCAATTTTTCGAAAAACAGACTCCTATGTCATTGCCCGTTTACTGGTCCTGATTCGACAATTGGGATACCTAGTTACACTGTATTTCATTCTTCATGAGGACATGGATACTTCAACTGCGGTAACTACTATTATTTCAGTTCATTTGTGTCCAATTATTCCTGTTATACTACGAATCTCATTAGCGTTACTGTACGCGATTAATTCAATCACTTAAATGTACTTTTGAAAGGATTCGTACTAGAGTTGTAAGCTAAACCCATTCTTCCTCGATCTTAGAGATAAGGATGAGAAACGTAACAGATGTTCCCCTAAAGATACTTTATTCTTGGTTTAAGATATATGTCTCTTTAGTCTCATCATGTTTTTAAATATCTCGAAATATTGGATATGAACATGTTAGCAGCAATATAATAAATTTTCCTCAGTGTTTCGTCAATGACTCCAGCTGAAAGGGTTGGTCATCAATAATGAAATAAAGTCCCCTCAACAAGTTTGTTGAATACATTTTCACCCAGCCAGATAATTTCAGAAGGCATTTTAATAGTTTTTTAGTATTATCAACTGTAGGCAGACACAATATTTGTGCTTTCACTTGCACAATGACTACAAATTTCGTGTGATGCTTGACATAAGTTCTTAGTCAAATCAATCTTAATTCGTGAAAAGAAGTAACGACTGATCGGAAGAAACTAACTCCGATTCAGTTTAAAACTGGTGGAGTATACAAAGAGGGACATTTATGGTCATTTATGCCAATTTCTATCACCATTTCAGAAGCTTTCTTCGTCACCAGGAGCACGCGCCAAACGTGGACAGATTGCACATTACAGGCCTTTAGAAAGTGGGAATACAAGCATGAGCTATTTAAAACTTTGTGTCCCCATACAACATATTAGGTAGTGAGAGCGCTCTCAGGAAATAATCTGACCAGGCCATGGCCCTTGATGTTTTCCTTCATAGGTCTTAAAATAGTTTCTCAGAAGGTTTGTCGTAGAGATTAGAATGACCATCGACAGCGAACAACATGTTGGAAAATCGTATCCCAGGGTTTTCTTTGAGAATAAAGGAATATAGATGGCGTTCATTTACGTTGATGTTTTAAATGGACAATTTTGAAGATCTGAGGGAGAGATAGACGGACGTAATAACACTAGACAAACTATCTAAATTATCACATGAATCTCTTATATAACCATGATCCCTGAGCATATGCTTCTAGAAAATAGTGTCCGTCAAAACTGAAATCAGAATCAATATTCCACTTTTCAAAGATCTATTTGTTACGAGAATTTATTCATATCTAAGCCATTCTTCAGCACATTGCACTGAACAGAAACTAAGATATTACGCAGGACTTTATGTAAATCACTCAGCCGCCAAGCCAGTTGGAGTAAAAATACAGATTTTTGCCACTATCACTTAATTCCATTCTTTGCTTGTGTTTGGTCTTCCATTTTTCGAACGGTCCCTATTTGTTTTTGTTTTATAGCGACTCACGTGCAATTGGGTTTATTCTCATTTAACTCAGTTAAGCCCTTTTACTAACTCATTTAGCGGACAAAGTCATCCGCACTATAACACTTTATTGTACCCTTATTATTTTGTGCTTGTATGAAATACGTATGCTTGAATATTGATTACGGCCTACGCATTTATTCACTCTGCTAGTCTTACTACTAACTGCTTATTTGATTCGATTACTCATTCATTTCACATGCTATATATATGTCCATGTTATTCATACTCACTCACTCGCACACTCGTCTCGCTCTTGCTATGGCTCCCGCTCTTTTGCTTGCACAACTCTTCTATGCTTGTTTAACGCATCTGTACATTTGGATATATATGTGTGGTCTCGCAATAAACGTAATCAACACTTCGTATTTGCCTTCTGATTAATATACCGTTGGGATGTTATATAGAACGGTTATCAAGACGAGCTGTATACGAAGTTTAAAGATTATATCGAATATCGACCACCACAGTTTTATTCCCATTGGAGATGGCACGGGTATTCAATGTTTGATAACGCTTTAGCCAGTAACACCTTCTAATATAACTAGTACCCACCAAGAGAAATCAAAAGACAGAATCGAGGAGATTGGAAGATATATTTGATGACTACCAATATATCGAGAATCGTCTGATCAAATCTGGCTAGCGATTGCAGTAGATGTTGAGCACGGCGTTCCCACACGTGATCTGGTGAGGATGCACGACCGAGCGCCTTCAGTTAGGTGAGTCCATTAAAACATGTGGTCAGCATCCAATCTCTAAAACTTACAGGACTATTTATTTTGGGGATTTATTTACCGCTACACCATTGTTTCGCCTTACTTCACAGGTCAGTAATGTAACGAACTAATGATCACCATAAGTTTAAAACCTTTAGTAAACCCAACCAGACAAACGAATGAATTGTGAGTTATCAATCATTTAATTAATAGTCGGCAAATCATATATATCCTAGTAAACAGATCAAATTTAAGGAAACTTAAGTTTAGCCGCTGGATAGATTAACTCGAGCTTCGTCAGAGAGTAGATTTGCTTTCCAACAATGAAAAAAGTGAACAGAATACCATAGCTTTCGTAAACTGATCATCGCAACTTAAAAAAGCTTATCTATTGAATTATTGAAATAGTACGTCGCAGGCGGGTGATCAACTCAGATGAACACTTTATTTTAAAGCGGGCTGTTTATAGCTGTTTGCCGTGGTTCCCAGTAGGTCATAACACACAGCACATCTTGTCTTCACTTTATCGTCGAAAATTGCATTACTGTGATTTTGGTGTGGAACACTTACCATGTTTTTAGATCCACGATTTTTACTGGTTATTCCACTTTCTTAAACAAGTGACACGGTGGTGATCAATGTTTGCTTGGCGAGCCTGTGATTACATTCTGGTTCATAGCAAGGGAAATAAAGGAAAACAGTAGTAGAGCAGTAAAGCTACTCATTATGTGGACCACTGTTCCTGGTCGGCTAGACACGTGCCATTATGATCCAACTGATTCGTTTGGAGTCTCAGACCGTAGTGCGTAATTATAAAGCTGATTATTATGTTGCACAACTGGATTCAGTTAATTGCTCTTCAGTGGCGTCAATCAAATCTTAAATTTTACCGAGTTAGCTACAAAACGGTTTAAACCTATGTGCGACTCAACGTTTACGATCGTCTAAATGTTTTGCGAAACGGATTTCTGAAACATGTACAAACGTTTCTTATGTCATCGTCTTATTTTATAGTTAGTTTGCCGACTAATATTAATAACTAAGGTCCCAGATTTTCGTTGTTTCGTTGCATGTACATCAGCATTGCTTAACCTGAACACCATTGAAAATACAACATTTTACGATCGCGCAACCACGCTCCTTTAGTTTCGTGATTTCATTGATTTTGTCTATTTACTTTCTTAACGATGTCATACTAGCTTCTTAAGCACTAGCCATAAGCTTAAATCATTCTAGTGTCAACCGATGTCAAATGTTTGTACCTCCATTTGGTTTCGGTAGCCAGGTAGTACTACTAGTCTTTACATATACTGCGTTTTGGAGGCCGAGTGCAGAAAAGTATATTTAGTAGTTATATTGGCATATCTATTTTAAAAGCAAAATAGAATGCTAGTGCTAGCATGGTTTACTGTTCGAGTTACCTTGAAAGTGAACTTTGTCTGAACAATGTTGGCTTCATAGTTATATGCTGTTAATTAATTCACATTTCTAACTTGTTTATCTGTTTGAACCATTGAGGCGTAAACATAAGTGTCTTATAATTACCTACAAGTATTACGCTCCTAGCACACTACATAAAAGCTGTTTTTCACAACTCTCGTGTTATCCTCATTTTCAGTGATAATCATCTATGTAATATATATGTAAGAAAGTATCAGTGAACTTTATCCAGCTTTTTAAGCCTCAAAAAATATTAAGTCGTGCCTTGTCCTTTAAATAGTTCTTTATGGATGTATAAATCGTCTCTTGAGAAACAGTTTCGTCAACCAGATGTGTAAACCCCTCCCAGCTTTACATGGTTCACTGTAGTTCTAACTTCACTAAGGTAGTTAGGGATCAAAAGTCTTTCTTATTGAATAGGCTGGTCTAACTGAATAAATCAATCATGTATCCTCACTTTATTGATTATTCTAATGCTTGACTACGTTGTATCACTCACAGTGTCTTCCTTAATCATCGAATAAAGTTGTTCAGTAACCTTTGAATCGTATATTCTCTCAGTTAAATTTGCAGGCTTCTTTTACTGAACTAATCTGCGGTTGGTGAATTTCTTACCAATCATGGGACGAGAAAGTATTCTCATATCATTTGTTAAGGATTTATCTGTCAGAAAATCATTGATTTTTAACCTAAGCTTTGTTATTGTGGTAGGATCCCAATGCAGAACGTTACGATTCATTTTCTCTAGTTTATAATAGTTCAGATTATTTATTGACTTAGTTGTAATAATTTTACTTTTCACAATTAAAATGATTCATGTGACTAAACTATAACAATGGGATCACATCCAGTATGTATATGCTCTGTATATTTGGCAAAGTAGCTGCTTAAATATTTAACAGTCATCTAACATTCAGTCCATAGATAAGATTTCCAAATAACAACTTTTTGGTCGACTTGTCTATTTCTTATCTTCTTTTTCAATGTGTTATTAGATATGCCATTTAATGATTAAGACTTTTCGAGTCCTGATTTTCTTGAGGTTATGTGATTTTCGTCTTCGTTTTGTGTCTTGGTTTAGATACTTACAAATGGACTTTTTGAATTGGCTCACTGGGTGGAAAAGAGATTCTAACGATGATAGTCAGTTAGACTTCTCGTTCCTATTTCCTGCCACCATTGGAGTAGGATCAATAGTCATTTGTCTTGTTGCCCGCTATCGGAATGAGTTATTCGATTTAAAATCGACTATGTTCCGAAATACAAAGGATGAAAACGTTTCTTCGCGTCGTGGCAACTCCTATTCCAATTTCAGGAAGAAGCCAAAGCATTCCAACAAATCTGAATCAAATGCTACTCAAATTCGAAAAACGGAAGTTTCACAACCACTTGTAGTCGAGACACTAGCTCCAGTCTTACCTGTCCAACAAACAGAATGCGCATCAGTTCAGCCTATTCAAATTAAACAAGAAGCAGTCAGCGAGGCAACAGATGGAATTGAGGCTGAGTTCTTTAACCCCATTCCAAAGAAGCAGAAAAAGTCCAAACGTTCATCTAAAACGAAAGACGCCCTAAACCATGGTTTGAATGAACAAACTGAGATCGATCCAGCATGGGTTACGGTCACTTCAAAAAAGGTAAAACTTTCCAGCCGCAACACTCAAAAGAAAAAGAACGTGGATAGCGAAGGTAAACGCATGTCGAATTTTACACTTTGTCCAATTATTGTTGTCAATTGTTTATATGACTTAATAAGGTAGTTTTTATTAATTTATATCGGATCGATTAATAAGAAGCTGAGATTTCCAAGCTATCTTGTCATGTTGCATGTTTATCGGTTTACAACTTCATCCTGTCAAATGTAATTTCTCATTTCCATTTTCCATACAGCAAACAAAAAATAACATTTGTGGCTTAATCGGCTTTGACCAATTAATTTCCGACTAGCATATTGTGTTTTTTCAAGCCATTACTTGCTAAGTAGGGAAAAACAGCAAAATTATTGTCCCCCACTACTGTAAAACCAATTATTTCTATACTATATTTGGTGTTTTTCTAGTGAAACTGCTGAAATTCTAGTAACGATCTCAAGGACATGAATAAATAGCATTCTCGCTATTATTGGAAAGTACTATAGATAAATTACTATTTTGTGGTAATCAAAGTACCAGAGATTGTTCAAGTTTAAACGGGAATACGTAAAAAATACCTAGTGAAAATCCTAGTTATCAAATTCGCCTGTTAAATATGCAAGAAAATGATGTTTTTGTGAAATTCTATCCCCGTAGAAAAAAGCTTTCAATTCATTCTGTTTTTACGTGGAATAAAGTTTCTGAGTGCACATTAATAGTAATCATCAAACTGTTTGTTACGTAACTCGATTGGCTTTTACCAACTTGTGTTACATATGACAGGGAGATATCGGTCTTTTAACCAAAGAATGAGTTTACTACGAATAAGTCCTCTCCGTTCCACTTTATGGATGTGAAATATGGCCATTTAAAATAGAGGGTATTCGTAGGTTACTAGTATTCGGTCATAGGTGTCTACGAAGCATTGCTCGTGTATCTTGAGATCACGGTGTAGCCAATACCCGGGTTAGGAATAGGATACTAGGTAAGGATGGCAAATCGATTGATGAAGTAGTAAATCTTCATCAACTGAGGTGGTCGGAACGTGTTACATATGCCCATCCACCGCCTACCTCGATGGGAGACATTTCCTGGTGTAGGAGTAGATTAGAAGGAAACTAGGAGCGGCAAAACCAAAACATGGCATCAGTCCATGAAGTTACTGACAAATGAACTTAGCCATGTTAATAGGTGTAGATTTTCTAGTTGTGGTATGCATTGTTGTCTTAACTAATAGTTAGAATTTTTGAATGACATGGGTCGAAGTCGTTTGGAATGTCGTAGATGCATCTATTCTTTATCCTCCGCAATATTCTGAGCTTCAAAATTCCTCATAACTTTTTTGTCTTTATTTCAACAATTTATATTTTCTTTTCGAGTCGTACTTCAATGTCTAATCTTTCTTACTACCACTGATACTGTTTTTACCACTACTACTCTGGGATTTGCGGATTTTTATCAAGGTTGTTCTCTACGGGATGGGGTTGTTGACCCCATGCCCAACCGTACTCCTTTGTCCGGGGTTGAGTTCGATAGTAACCCCAGACCGGTCATATTTGCATCATTAAAAAAATTCAGAAGGTCAGTGGGACAAGTGAGAACCGAAAGATGTGCTGACATAGCTTCAGATCATCACTTGGCGGTTGCTAAAATGAAACTAAAACTAAAGAAGTACTGGACAACTGGAGAAACAACATCGAAGTAACTGCAAACATGCTCCACGTTCTGTTCAGGAAGATTTAGGAGGAAGAACAACTGCCGATGGTCTGGAAAGAAGGACACCTCATCAAGATTCCAAAGAAAGGAGATGTGAGCAAATGTAAGGATTACAGAGGCATCACACTACTGTCAGTACCAGGAAAGGTTTTCAACAGTGTCGCTGAACAGGATGAAAGATTCGGTAGACGCCCAACTTCGAGATCAACAGGTTGAATTTCGTAAGGATTGGTCGTGCACAGACCAAAATGCCATCATCGTTAAACAATCAGTTGAGTGAAACTCGTCACTGAACATCAACTTCATTGACTGTGAGAAGGAGTTTGACAGTGTAGATAGAAGAACATTATGGGAACTTCGACACTATGGTGTACCTGAGACGATCGTCAATATCCGACAGAATTCATACGACGGGCGACGATGCAGTCGTGCACGGAGGACAGCTAACAGATGGATTGCAAGTAAGAACCGGTGTCAGACAAAGCTGTCTACTATCCTCCTTCCTCTTTCTTCTGGTGGTCGTCTGGATTATGAAGACCTTGACATCTGAGGGAAAGCACGGAATACAATGGACAGCCCAGAATCAATGAGAAGTGAGGACCGGTGTCGGACAAGGCTGTTTACTCTTCCCCTTTCTTCTAGTGGTTGACTGAATTGTGAAGACTTCCACATCTCAGGAGAAGCATGGAATACAATAGACAGCTTGCATACAACTGAACGGTTTGGACTTCTCAGATTACCTAGCTCTTCTATCCCATACACACCAATAAATCCAGGCTATGACTGCCAGTGTAGCATTAGCCCTCAACATACATAAGGGAGAAAGCAATATCCCGATAAACAACACAGAGGGTACCAACCCAATCACACTTGGTGAATAAGCTCTGGGAGAGGTAGAATGTTCTACGTATCTGAACAATATTACTGATAAACAAATTGGGTCTGGTACTGATGTGAATGCAAGGATTGGCACGACATAGACAGAATTCCTACAGTTAAAGAATATCTGGAACTCAAAACAGCTGTCAGCCAAAATCAGAGTTAGGATCTTCAATACGAATTTCTAGACAGTCCCAGTGTACGGAGCTGAGACTTGGAGAACTACAATCGTCATCAAAAAGTACAATTATTTATAAACAACTGCCCACGAAAGATACTCAATGTCCGTTTGCTTGATATCATCAGCAACAACCTGCTATGGCAGAGAACAAACCAGATACCAGTTGAAGAGGAAATTTGATGCTGGAGGTAAATAGAACATACATTTCGGAAACCATCAGACGACACTAATTTGGAATCCTGAATGGAAAAGGAAAAGAGGAAGACCAAGGGACATATTGCGTTGGAAATTAGAAGCAGACATCAAAAGAAAGAATACCAACTGGAAAGGATTGCCTAGGACAGAGTTCGATGGAGAATACTGGTGGGCGGCCTATGCTCATCTGCTAGGAGTAACAAGCGTAAGAAAGTAAGTAGTTTTTGGCCTGACAACTTTATCTCTCTGTACTAATGGGGTATGGCAACTTGAACAGATGTACATACATACAGGTTCTACGTTGTGACTGACGGGCTGACTATGTAAATATTTTCTCCTTATTTAACCGTTTATTCTTTTTGCTTTGTTCCAGGAGATCAATCAGTGTCGGAAAATCACTCACCCATTTCTTTTGCTGAGTCACCGATCCAAAATAAACAAGCAAACAATAAGCAACAAGAGCTATCCACTAGCAATAAATCTAACTCCTCCATTGTAGAAAATAAGGTTTGTTACTTCGATAAGCTTTTTGATATCCTTTTACATATACTTCGTAGTTGCAAACAATTGTTCAGTCAATTGATACGTCTTGCACCAAAATGATTACAGAATTGTTAATATTTGATAAAGTCCTCAAAGTAACTGTTCTCAAGACACTTATATACGTCAATATTCACGGAACCTTAAAACAAATATGTTGTCAGTGTAAACTTGTTACATATTTAGGGTAGGTAGTCTGTTAGTATTGTTAACCCTTATAATAAAAATCACAGAGCCTAGTACGTAAATGGTCACATGGTTCGTTAGTTTACCAACGTACTTTATGCTTTTAATGTTGTGCCTACGTACTATGCGAAGAGATATTCTATTGGAATAGATCTCAAAACTGAGAAACTTTTTCTATGTGGTTTTATCGAAATACATAATTTACTCGTCAAATAATTTCTGCCTATTGTGGAAACTAGTTTTCTCAACTGGGTACCACACATGTCCAATACACTGTCTATTTTAGGAAAGTACACTGCGTTCACGTTATGAAACACTGAATCCTGTTTATGCTAATTTAAGTTGTAAATATCCTAGCATAATAACTTTTATTGAAAAAAGTTAACTTACATATTATTTATAATATCCATGAAAGTTGAGTACCCGTATGATCATTGTCGTCATCAGTATGTTAAAACAGTAGTTTGTATTTTCGTTTTCCTAGTCTGATTGTTGTGTGAAAATAGATCACATTAAAAAGCACAACCCGCATTTGTAATCCCATTAATTGGTTTTAATGGATTATTGTACATTTGATCCATTTCACCGTTTCATATATGAAACTTCTTTGTCATTTATCTATCAAACTAATTTTGTTGTGTTAATTTCCACATTATTATGTATAACACTCAAGTAGGTTGGCTTTTCTGTAGGCACTCCGTGTTAACAGCTTAACTGTTTTATAGGTATAGTTTGAAAACATTTCTAAATTAAATGAAACCGATATTTGTCACTTGTTCCATCTTAACATACAATTTTAACCGATACCTTTCATTGTCAGTAGGGAAACAAGAATTTCACTGTTTCTAAATGTTAAAAGCTAGGCGCTTATAGAAAAGGGTAGCCATGCTATAAAATTACTTCAAAGTAAAAAGATTTTTTAAAAGAATTGAAGTAGCTTCCAGAGTAGATTGTGTGAATTAAATCGTATATCATTAGGAAGTGTAATAGGATTCTGTTTACTTAGTATTCATATGATAAGCCTGAAAAATACTAGGTTATTACTGGGTTCCATCCAGTATAACACCCGGAATTGTGCCACACCAAAATTCAGTTATTTACTAATACAAGTAAACATTGATAATTCGTTATCAGTAAATTATATAGGGTCTACCTGTTGGTAGAACAGATACTTGATCAAAGCACGTTTCAGACAATATTTTCGACTAATCAGCGCAGATGGATGAGCTATAAACACTCTGCAATACTGTAAAGTTGATTTATATTCACTGACATTTTGATGTTTTCTGTTTTATTTGAAATATATTCATTTTAATGTTCGAGCCGTGTTTTGATTTGGAAACCAGTTGAGCAAAACGAAGTATGCAAGAATACTAGACAGTAGAATGCCGGGCCAAATAAGGAGATCTAATACTATCCTCTTTGAATAGTTGAATACATTTATCGAGCTACATTATTGAATCACTAAAACTGGTAACTGTTTGGTAACGTCTAATTCTCTCTAATTTCAAGACTACTTACTCAAGAAGTCAGAAACAAAACAGAAAGATATCGACTTAGATTGTTGTACAAATATGTACATGTTACAACAGTTTGCTACAACATAATTAATTAAGAGTACAAAATATTAAAAAGATATTATATTAGATATCGTGGGTGGGAACTGAATAATAACATAATCTTTGATACGCATCTGCGTAGTGTAGTGGTGAGGAATTACTACAACTCTTCGTGATTTATTGCTGTTTTTACCACTCAACAAATACGAAAGCTGGTTAAATTTCATCTTGGTTTTTGAATGCGGCAATCAGATCGCTTAATATTCGATTCGGATATTTAATTCTTTTTTTGTATGAGTCCATTTATACACAAGTTTATTTGGTATAGCTAATCTAAACATATAAGTGCTTTACAACTGCTCGTTTCACAGGTTACACTTCACTTGATTTCATTTCACACAAGAGCTGCTAATAACAGATGCCCCTAATATCAGACTTTTGATGAATTTATTAACGTCGTGTCATATGCAAATGAATAGTCACGCATTTATTTGTTTAATGTTTTTTGACCTATTAGTCTATGAATTTGGAATTGAACACAGATCAATCATGTCCTACTAAGCGGTCGAAAGCTCCTGCCCAAACTCAACCCATGAAAACTGAACATAATGAGAATACAAAGTTGGGTACCGTAAATTCGCATACTTCAACACCTTATGAAGAGTTGTTGTACAAAAATCTTGGTGCTGAAACAGTAACAGCCATTCGATCACTGATTCTGAATAGCGAAACCCATACTTCACGTCCTTCTGAAATCCCTTCTTCATGTGATGAGATGAGTAAACAAGTGAGTCAAACCATTTGCTTAAACCCATCTTGGAATGCATTTGTTAAGAATTTTAAACTTAATACAACAAGGTAAAAAGTATTCTCTTTCTTACTAATATAATTTTCGGTCGGATGGTAAAGTTCTATTCGATTGCAATTAAATATTTGTTCAAAAACCTCTAAGTTAAAGAAATGACGTGAATTGATTTAGTTCATCTCATATATAAGTGAATCTATTCTGAAGCACTTTAATGTACAAATGTTTTGAAAAATATAGGAGGATGTGAAATAGGTTCATAGCATTTCATTTCAATTCATGTGGAATGGTTTCTAGTATCCTGTTATACTCCTTTCAGTGATACGCTGTTATATTCATTCTTCGTTTTTCTATTTATACAGAAAATATCGTCTGTGTCTCCCAAAAGTACGAATAATCTGCCCACAACAAGTGAACTTATATCACAGCATATGACAGCCCAGCTACAAGCGAAAGAAGCTGAATGTCAGGTAATAAAAGTACTACCATGTATACATATATATATAGTGACAACAGGAATAGTAAACCCTTATAATCTAGTTGTTATAGTGCGTTTATTTTTTGAAATTCAGCATCCACTCTTACAAAATAACGGTACCTGTGGGAAATATATTCCTACGTTAGTTTCTTTCATCTATTGTCCTTTTGAAGTTCAGAAACTTGTACATACCACTGATTTGTAATCACTGTTTTTTAAATGTGAATTCCTTGTATTCACCGAGTGTATGTTAACATTCTATAATTTTTGTAGAAACACTCCTGTTGCCTAATAACAGTAGATAAAATTTTATTTAAGGTAATTATGAACTTCCAGTCATTAGTATAAGCATTTTACATGAAAACACTTGTACTAATGACTAGGGTATGATAATTTTTCCTCGTGCGAATGTGGTATGGAGACTTAAACCTATACACATTTGTGCCAATGTCTGTGTTGCAAATGACTGACTGACTTGACATAAGGGAGCGTTATTTCTTTCCCTGATCATACTATATTTACTTGTAACCGTACTGCTACTCAACAATACAGACTGATCACAAATAAGTTACAAAACTCACGTTAATATAAAAATAAGAAAATTTGAAAGGTCAGTTGTTTTGTTTAAATGGAGTTTACATACAGAGGCAATTTTTAATTGATTTTAATGTTCCAAGATAATTCAGATTTCAGTTGTTTTTCTAAGTATTTGCATCATTTCTTCCAATGTATAGTCTTTCGTTAGCTATAGTTCACATTCACTCAAATAGGCATAGGATGAAGTTATCAAATTCAAAGAATCACTTGTGATTCATTTCCACTAATACAGTTTCATTGTTTATTATTATAACCAGTTATCTGTATTACACTTGACGTCTATTAAAAATAATTTTTTTAACTGTTGTTTAAAAAGAAATTAAGGGAGAGTACATTTCACGTATCTAGTAGTAATTCATATTTAACTAAACTGATATACGCTTTTAATTGAAAATGCTTTGCAGATTATATCGTTATTATTATATTTATTTATTTAAGGTTTTGCGTACTGAAGTTGTCCATTTAAGGGATGAAGTAAAAATACTGAAAACTCTAGCTCTTAATCGTGTACCTGTCCAAAAGCCTATGACTGATGCTGAAACGATGACTGATCCAATGTAAGTTACATGTTACTACCCTGTCACTAATAATCATCATGATAATAACAAACTTACTTTTACTATATGTTTACCTACAAATAAATGATTCTCAGCACCAAATAAATTCTTACAATAAATCCCAATTTAACACGTATATAGCTATTATATATATATTAAACTATATCTTACCAGTGCTTATTTAGCATTCATTTTCAACTGTAATCAGTTTCAACCGTTCCCCCAACTCATAGTTTGTTGAATGTTACATCGGTCTTGATGTACTTCCCCATCGTTCCTCAAAAGAATAAACAAGAAATAAAAAATATCCTAACCATTATGATATTTCCACTACTTAACGTCATGATATGTTGTTGGCTTTTTGCAAAACCCATAAGTACATTTCAAGATTCATAGACTTAGTTACTCCGTCAACGCACATCTAAATTAGGAATGTTTATCACAATAACTCAGCAGTTTGTAAAAAAGACGACCCAAAGTGTTATTAAGATCGTCACTTGTTTGTTATTTCTGTTAAAGATTTTAGCTTTCTGTATTCATATAAGTTTGAAATGAGTGATTTAGATTTGAAACAAAGATTTTTAGTCGCTCAGAGTGAAACATCTACTGTTTTAAGTTTAAAGTTACCAAATATTAAAAAAGTACTGTTAATTTCTATTTGGGCGTTCTACTGAAGACCTGTTGTTTAAATCCATGTGAATAGGAAAACATTTCGAAACTCTAATAATTTATTTAAACATAGTGAATATTAGTCAGATCTTGATATTTCTACGTGAAAGGTTCTTAGCTCTCAACGTCAGACTCCGTTCGTAAATATCATTATCTCATATTTTCCTAATTGTTAGTGAATCACCGGATATTAAATCCTCGCTTCCTCAGCAATCGACCGATTCAGATGCAGTTCTACTGTCGACTCTTCAAAATGAAATTGCCCGTTTAGTTAAAGAAGTGGTTATCTATCAACAACGTAGTGAAGTAAGTCGGTGCTCTTTTGTGTAATATAGTCTGTTAATATTAACCATTTTCGAGTAATTTAATTTTGGTTCATTATAACTTATATTAGTGTGTAGATATTGTTTTAGACTCCACACTTGTAGCAAATTTTGTTTGTATTATAATCTTGGGTTAAATGGTTTGATGAAAGAGTTGTCTGTTGTTAAAATTCAAAGGAAATTTGGTCGATAGAAGGCATAGAATGATACAAAGTTGTCATTTTACTTCAACACATAAATATTGGTACAAGAGGGCACCAAATATATATGCACCACACCATATTTGTGTGTGTGTGGGCTGTGATACTGCCCGAGTGCCCAGACCCAAGCACGTGGTTTTCTTAGAGGGCCACACCCCGAGCCTTTAACCTGAAGGTCTGATCCACAAGGCAGTGGAGCATCGTGAGGAGATGCAGTCCGATGGTAGCCGGTGACCAACAATTGGTCCATATGCCATTTGTTCCTTTAGGATACTGGAGCCCATGTGCACCATTGGTTTGGAATCCGGTTAAAGCGCCGGACATTCGCTTTCCGTCCTCTCAATTTCGTAACCAACAGTAGTGCCACGAGAAGGTAGTGATTAGGACTTCCCTGGCAGAGGCTGTATACGCGTAGCCGTGTGAGAGCATTTCGAGAGGAATGGAGGGCGGGCTCACCTCACTCTCGCCCATACCAGGGCATTTGGGGGCTGTTGTCAAGTGATGGGTGCTCCTGAAATCGAGTTATTGACGTAAACCGTCGAATGATTTAGAATTGAAGGAAAGAAAACTAGCCAGTAGAATATGCTTCTTGTGTAATAAAATGACATGTTTATGTACAAAAAGATTCACGCAAAAACTAACACGGTAAACTGACGTAGGTAATTGAAAGAAATTAGTTTTTATTGCACTCATCCTCTTATCAATTAAGGTTTGACTGTTAAGTGTGATTTCAATTCACTATCACTGTATTCTCATAAAAGTTGTACTACATAGTTTTGTTTTCAACGGCAGTTATTGGTCCACTTTATTGGCAAATATCTTTAATATGTTTCTAGTGTCATAGTACCAACTTTTACAGTTTGTTAAAAGCATCTAGCGAAACAAAACTACTGGCTAGATTTTAATAAAACTTCAAATTGAATTAAACATATACACGAGATCAAATGAGGTACTAATTGAAAATGTGGTAATTTTGTTTTTCCCCCCATTTATCTTATTCATTTTTCTTAACTCTCCACAAAACTGTCTTCACATACGCACACAATTGTTCAGAATATTAAAGATGTTATTATTTTCTATTTGGCCATCATATTATTATGGGGTAGCAATTTCAAAATTTTGTTAATAAATCTATTTAGTAACTAATTCTCTGACTTATGCAAAAGTACTATTTTCCTGAATTGTTTTCTCTACACTTAATTCACTAATTTTAATAGAATTTGAAAAGTCGTTTGGATACAGCCAATAAGAAATTATCCGATTCAAAATCTAAAGCTGCTGATGAAACTAAATTATTACAACAAACTTTAGATACACAATCGGAGAAATTATACAGTCTAGAGTCTGAAAATAGTCGTTTAGAAAAAGAATTAAAAGATGTATTACAGAAAGCTGAAATTCATCATCGAAAATCTGAGGTTTGTCAGATTATGTATATGCCATTACTGTAATTCTTGTTGTTTCGATAAATCATTACTAATAGCCATGCATATTAATCTATATTTGAGTTCATTAAGACTGTTCAATAATTTTTTGTAATAAATAAAGTAAAAATTTGATCAGATGCTGTGTGTCAGTGTATTATAGATTGTATCAATGTTTCAGGGTTTCTTGGTCTTGACACTTGGTTTTGTTTCAACTACGTTTATTATTATTCAATGCCAAATCATCTTAACAATCATTATTATCATAGTTTATTAGTCATTAGGTATTTATCATACATTTATCTACGTACTTATGCATGATTATTATACTTTTAATGCATGTTATTATAGGTCAAGGATATTTTTAAATATGAAAGTTTCATGTATTCATTTACATCAAATATTGTTGACTCATCTAAAATATATGAATTCGACTACTTAATAATTAATCAAAAGTTGCTTACATTCTAAGCTAATACTGTTTAGTGTAAATATGTAACTAATACAATCTATCTAATGTTTGTCTACCGTGGAAATTTCGAATTTATCATATGTCTATATGTTTAATGCTCATTATAATCTAATTCGATAGTCAATTACAATCAACTTAATTATCTCGTATGACATTATTGCGTGTAGCTATAGAAGTGTAGACTTTATGACCTAACTTGTATTTAATATTAACGAATGATTATTGATGGTAAAATACTTCTTGTTTATATGTTCCAATTCTTAAAAAAATTGTATATTGACTACTCTACTTTACCGTTTGTTCCACTGATCTTTGTAACATATAGAATATTAGTACAATGTTCTCGATGATTATGATAGAGACTATAAGTTCAAAGATAGTTATAGCTTCGTTATCGTTTGGTTTCAAATAAGATAGATATTATACATTTTGCATCGAAATTAAGAGTTTTATATGGATACAATAATTCATTTGTATACATATCAAGTGTCATTCCATCCATGAATTAACATTGGTAATAATGATAACTAGACATTCTAATTTCTAGTAACAACGACTCGTTGGTCGACATATGTGGAGCGTAAAATAAGGACTTTCATCTTGAAAAAAAATCAAATAATACCATACATCTATTTTTATTAATAATGACATTAGCGTCCTTAAAGTTTGGAATCTTGTAAACTAATGTAGTTTATCAAGGGATAGGAAAAATGTCAACTGCTTATATGATGAAGGTTTCAGTGATTGTTAGCACTGATATTTTACCTTAATTTTGCTTCTGTCATATTTTATGGGCTCAGTGACTTACAAAATTTTCACCTGAAAAATGTACTGAATGCGTATATACACCATTTCTTTTTTATGTGTTGTCAGTAGCTGCATTTGTAATTTGATACATACGTATTCTTGTGTGATAAATATTTGGTGATTTTATTATATTTATTTATGTTAATTTGCTGGCTCGATCTAGAAATTTATTTAATGAGGCAGTAATACATGTATGTCATACAATCACACTCAAGTATATATGGATATTTTTTTGACTTGACTTTCTAACCTTCTTATTTGTTGTAGGAGGCTGAACACAAACTCACACAGCGTTTGGAGGAACTAGAAGTACTCCGACTAGATATCTCATCTTTCAGGAGCAAATGTGAGGTGAGTTCATGGTTTTTATATCTATATATATGCTGTGTAGATAGTTAGATAATATCCATTCTTTCGAACAGGATAGGTTTTTAATCAATTTGCAGGATAAATAACCTCAGTGTGAGCAATTTAGTCATCGTTTTGTGGAGTTAAAGAATAGGTCACCGGGTATTAATGAGGAGTAATTATTGATTTAAACATGTTGATGACATCTCAAGGTTTAACAACAGATATTGTTGTATATTGAAAAATGTAGCTTTTAAGATATCTCAGCTGGACAGTATTAAACATATATCGCAATATATATTTTACTCCACTTATGGAACAACAAGCCATGAGTATGTTGGAAGTTTCATTCTACTGAACTTAAATAAAAGGCGGTCTGCTTAAGCATCTGGGCTACCTGTTCCTGCCATCCAGATGTTTCAACAAGTTATCTATTTTTATTTGTTTTAATATATCAATATGTTTATTAATCACATGATGTATTCTGCTGCGTTTCTGAAAAGTGTACAACCTTTCGTTGTCAAAGTTACAAAAAACTCAATAAGAGCCAATGTGGTTGCTGGCAATATATAGCGAAAAGAATGCACATTATTCAGATGTTCATTTACTGAACTGCTAACATCTAACTGGCGATCACTCAATATTTATCGCCAGGACCGACCAAGAAGAAAGAAACGGAAACTTGTTGAAATACTTTACGCTGAGAATTCTATATTGTACCAAAAATATAATATTGAATAAAGCTGATAATAATAATAATAATAATAATAATAATAATCTGGTAATTACTTTGTAAATTCATTTGACAAATAATTAGAGAGAACCAACAGCGAAATCTTATTATGTAAACCAGGTTTTATCAAAACCATCGTTTCCCTATTTACCGAATGTATGTATAAGGTTACCTTCGAACCTTAAAAGTAATATATTCGCTGTTTTCGAACTTCAGGCACTGGAAAACGGAAACTCTGTACTTCGGGGAGAGAAAGACATTCTAACACTCAAATTCGACGAATTAACCAATAAACATTCCGTAAGTTTCGCTGATCATTACTGTAATTATACATTATCATTACTATTCGTCTAATTATATGTAATCATAGGCGTTTTATGATTAAAGTATGATAGTTGATCTCGCAGAACGATTCATTTATCACTTCTTGTTTTTATAAGTCCATTTCACTTGTTCTGATCAAGAAATTTGGAAAGACTGAAATATGATCTTTCTATGTATTGTATATATTCAATAAAGATAAACTGTAAAATAGAAATCACCAGTGTCTAATCACTGGTCTTTCAGTTGAATCTATCAATTCTTCAGACAGAAGTTCTGCAGCAGTTTCGTTAACCCAAATAGGGTTGGTCCGCAGTTCATTGAATGAACATGTGTGTTGCATTAAACTACACTATACCATTATGCTTAATGTTATCGTATGAAATATATGCTTTGTGGGTAATAATCAAATCCTAGACGCTAGTTTGGGACTCGCCAGTTGGGTGAACCTGCTTCCTTATGTTTATGTTCACGTTGAGGCTCTAACCCAGTATCGTTCACTTCAAATATCAACGTGTTTTTCCTAGTCAAAATGACTTACAAGATTACGCTTCAAATAACTGACAGTTGCTCACATATTTGTTTGTAGTTTAACAATTGATTTCCAAATCACGCATTTAGGACACGAATGCATTACATTCAAGATTAGTTTGTTTATATACTATATTTGAACTTATATCTCCTAATAGACACATTTACACTTTACCAACATCTATGGAATATAGAAAGCTACAACTTTATTTTTAAAAAAGTATGGTTTCCTTGTTTTTTGGCTTCGTATACCAACGTTCTGTGTCTGTGACTGCTTTCAAAATATTTCGAATTGAATTTTACCCACCTCGGAAAAATTGTATTCTAAGGTCGAAAGTTATTTATAATTGTCTTGTCAAAAATATGAGTTTCACAATATGGCCCTAAACTATTAACAATTATTGTTTGGTGTTAGTTGTATATTTCTAAACATTACATCGTTTCTCTGTATTTCACTAAATCAATGCATGCAAAGTAAATACTATTTTAGAAAGTAACAAGTTACAAGTTTCGATTTTTCCTTTTGTTCTTTCTGAATTTTGTCTTCACGAACTTTTATTTATTTCAACACGTAGATATTGGTACAAATAGGCACCAAATACATATGCGCCACACAAATCTCATCCGATATGTGTGATGGCTGTGATACTGCCCGAGTGCCCAGACCCAAGCAGGTGGTTTTCTTAGAGGGCCACACCCCGAGCCTTCGACCTGAAGGTCTGACCCACAAGGCAATGGAGCATCGTGAAGAGATGCATCCCCATGGTAGCCGGTGACCAACAATTGGTTCATACGCCATTTGTTCCTTTAGGATACTGGAGCCCACGTGCAGCATTGGTTTGGAATCCGGTTAAAGCGCCGGACATTCGCTTTTTGTCCTCTCATTTTCGTAAACAACACCCGTGGTGCGAGAAGGCAGTGAGTAGGACTTCCGTGTCAGAGGCTATATACGCGTGGCTATGTGAGAGCATTTCGAAAGGGTGGGAGAGCGGATTCTCCCCCTCTCGGCCGTACCAGGACAAAATGGTAATGTATCGCTTATTCATAGTCTTATACTGATGCATGAGAATCATACCAACATATATTTTTATGCTCTTGCCTGTCACTCGCCTTCGTTCTACGTGATTAGGCTAATCGCCAAACTAAGTAATTATATTTTCTCTTCATACGTGTATAGTCACCCATTTACACTAGCAGATCAAGAATTTAGGGGGCAATGGTTCAAGCCTATCGGTCAGATGATAATATACTTGATATAAAGGATTATTTTTAACTGGTCTGTGTGATACTCATTAATCGTTTGTGGTATAAGCTAAACACGTTCCCTCTCTATGCAAACTGTATGATATTGTGTTGATGTGAGTCGACCAATTTATTCTTTTTAAATCATATATATGACTTTCACTAATACTTCTGGACTAAACGGTAGGTTTTGTGATATAACTGCCTCAAATCTGCACAAGTTTTCAGCTGGCTCACAAAACTTAAGAGTATGAAGTAATAAGGTGATCGAATTTAAGACAAATTCAGATCTTATCTGTATTTCTCGTATCAACAATGACACAAAGGATCGACGAAATATAATTGTATTTATATGTGTATTTCCATTTATCTACGCTGCTTGATTATTGTTATTATTATTATGCTTGCTTTTAACAGAGTGTTCTGTCCGAATTGTCTGCATCTCAATCACAATGTAACGTACTTCGTAGACAAATAAGTGAATATGATGATCGTCTACGTCAAATAAATGATCAACATCAAATTGTTGTAGATGATATGAAGAATCAGTTAACATCATTATTATATAACCATGAAACAAAGGAAAAATCACATATCAATATGATAAATACATTAGAAGCTAAACTAGAAAAGTTAACCAATGAACATAATGAATTAAATAAATTACTTAAACTACATGAAAGTGAACTAGAACATTTACGTACTGTTGAAAAAGTTACAGTAATTCAAAGAACTAATGAAGATAAATTTATGCAAACTGTCGATGATATTCAGAAGTAATCATATTTTTAATTTTACTATATATATATATATATATATATATATATATATATATATATATATATATATATATATATATATAAAGTATAATTAATCTGTTAATTCTACCTCCCGTTTGAGTTATGCTGTTACATACATCATACATCAAGTCTGAGGTTTATTATGAATGGATTGATGTTTCGAACGATTAAATCAATTTACTTCACTCTTTTAATTTAGTGTATTATTTATTTTTTGCATTTGAATTTGGTTATAAAATCAAATTATACAAAGTTGTTTTTCTTAATGAATTATCCCAATAGATTTGTACTTAGTTCTTTATTCTCCTTAAGTTTCAACTAGTTTTAATATGAATTGTATATTGTGATTTGTATAGTCTATAGTTCTATGTTCAATAAAAAAGGTGTATTCGAATTTTTGTATATTGTAAATTAGTTTACTAGTCTATCTAAATACTGGTACCATCATGCATATGTAAACGTGTTTACAATAAATATGCATAAAAGATGAAAATAAATTAATATCAAAGTGATATAATCAGTAATCATTCTCTCTATGGTTTGTACTCACGTTTTCACCGCATTTTTGTATGCTTATCTCTTCACTTTGTGTGCTTTTTTCGCCCACACAACTACTGTAACTATTTTGTACTGATTAACAGCAAGAGTGAAATCTTTACCTCACCCGGTCCTTTAGGTAAAAGTTGATTACAGATTTACTATTTTGGTGTCAAATGTTATATTGTTAATGACCAATGGAGTTCAATCCGTGTCAAGTGTAAAACAATTATGCACCTCATCTAATGGATGGCCGGTTGTTCAATAGTGTGCTTTGATCGGAGTTAGACATTAATACCGTTCTATTACCACGTGCGGAATCTTGAACGTATAATGTTAAGGAGCTGCATACTAGCATAAGACAACCGTCCACTGCTTTTAAGTTTTCGACTGTAGTCTAGCTAAGATCGATTCGGGATTTAAACCCTGAATATTAATGTTCCAAAACAGTCTTTTCAAAATTCATTTCATGACATTCTTTGATTTATCTTTTGTATATCAACCATAGAGAAATTATTCTCTACGCTGTTTGAACATAAGTTACCGTACTAATTATACCGCATTTTTATTACCTTGGTTATGAGTGTTCTATCTTAGTCTTTTTAAAATTAAGTTTTACAAACTGATGTATTTTTTCACATTGGAGATTTTTTCTCTGAGCTGGATGGTTTGGTCATGGAGCTTTCATCGTTCTTCTAAACAACATCATCAGCACAAACTTCACCATCTCACATTAGAGTGTTGATTGTTGTGTTGAAAAAATAATGAACTGACAGTATTATTATGATTAATATATTTATGATGAGAACTATTAAAAAATTACGCAACAAATATAAGATGTTCTGCTAGTTCCAAGATACTCTTTCCATCTATCATGATCAAAGTAGCCGGAGATAATCTAAGATGTACCGTTTAGTAATAGCTGAGTGCTAAATCCCCATCGGACGGTTCCCCACAATTAATTTACTTGAGTTTCTGGTTTATTTCGATAACTTTTAACTTAATTTTGAGGCATTATTGTTTCTTGTATTTTGTATGAAAGACGGAATCACATGCATCTGATTGGCTTTCCAATAATGTCTATTTTAATAAACTTGAAATTATTATTTTTTTGATACTTGTGTTTTGTTGAAATTTTTTAGCAACTCGAACTGATGTACGTACGTACGAAGTTCTACGTTGTTACTGACTGACTGACTGACTGAGCACATTCGCCTCTTGTTTATAATAGGTTCTTGTGGAAATTTGTTTAACTGGGTGACGGTTTTTTTGACGCAGATTGACATTAGTTAATGTTCCAGCGAAGCACTCTTTGCCTGTGTTAAACCATTTTAATTATCATTCAGCCTCTCAATCAAGCTCACCTTCAACTATGGTGTTACATGTGCTCAACCACGGGTGGGGATGGGGTTGTTATATAGTGTGAAGAATATGTTATAAAAAATCTGGTGGTTGCCAAACCACGACTTATCAATAGTCATCATCTTTTTGTAGATGTACACTACCTGATTGTGGTCCGTGCAATAACCTCGGTCAATAGATCGAGACTTATTATCAGATTCGCTCGTAGCGGCAAAAAGCCTATCCACTTTATATCTTGCTCTGGATCATAAATCCTGGCATTCGTTCTTACTTTTTCAGTATACATTCTCATTATCATCATTGCTACATTATTTCAACTCCTTTACGATTTATTTTGTTAATTACATCTCATTGTGCTAATATAACATTGCTAATTGGAGTAACGTTTCTATTAATCAGGTTCTATGTTAAGTGAGACTCATTGATTGAGGTTTAATAGTAGTACGATCACTACCTTGTATTTATTTACATCTTTACTTGCGTTCTATATAACTGTATTAATGACAATACTAGAATCAAAATTCATGTCACTTTCATGTACGGAAAGGGCTCTTGGTACTTAACCATATTATCCGTTACAGTACTAAATAATCGTCATCAAATTTTCAAGATTAATTTTCAATATAATTCTTCTCAGTCTATCTCATTGAAAGTACATTTTTTTCTATGAGTTACATTTCTTCTCAAATATTTACTTCTGATAGTGTAATCATCTTATATTCATCTTGTTGAGGTGGTGCTATTGAAAAAATGGAACAGAACTAATAAATGTATAAAGCATACATATATTGTATCCTTTATACATGTATATTAAATATCTTTAGATTAATGCACTTTCGCTGATATTATCGATTTGTACTAAAATAATAAAGACTCCCTTGTAAACTAGTTATAGAAATGTGCTTCAAAACAAAAAAAATACATTTATGGAATCAAGTTCTCTAGAAAATGTGGCATCTTATATATATATATATATATATATATATATATATATATATATATATATATATATATATATATCGTATCATGTCTAATATACTCCTTTATGTGAAGTCAGTACTTTAATAGCTAAAATGCAAGTGATAATGGATCTGTTTTTGAGCGTAAAACATTTCATGACAATAATCATGGTTTCTTATTACACATTGCTGATTTACAGGAAAATGTTCATATTTCCAGTCGTGAACTTCCTAAAAATTAGTCGTTGGCAAATACATGTATTTCATTATGAGTGTCAATAATTATATAAATGGGTTTTTAATCGAGCTGTTTTTGTATCCACAATATATTGTTTTATTGAGCATTGTTGCTTTCCAACGTATTCACTCGGTATGTGAAATTGCTTGACAAACATTGTTCTTGTAGCTGGTTTGTATTCTCTAGAAATATCGAATATAAGTTAACTATTAGTATAGGCTTGTAGGGATTATCAAGTTTCACGGGAATAAACGGATCAATGTTAGACCACCATTGAAAACCTGTAGACACTGGACAGTCGTTTCGTCCTAGTATGAGACTTTGCAATGCACATCCACAACTCCGCACACTGAAATCGAACTATTCTGTTACAAAATATCCCAGATGTAATCAATGTGATTTTTTATGGATATCGGTTTCATATCGCTTCTCTTGTGTATAATCTGATTGTTTTGAGCGGGGGGGGGAAGCTAATTTCTTGCGCTTTCTGCTTTCTAGTTATATTTTTCGCGAATCAATTTCACTGTTTTTTCTTCAGCAATGATCCTCAAACTGATGATGGCAAGTCAAGCAACATTCATTATGAAACCATTGTTAAAATGAATGATCATACAGGCCAAACAGAATCGGATCAATTTATTATTAAGTCTAGTGAATACAAATCATTACAAAGTCAAGTTGATCATTACAAGTCAGCGTTAGATGCCACTGAATCAATGCTATCTAAATTACAAACGTCCGTGAATGAAGAAGAAGCACGTTGGCACAAAGCATTGGATGCTGCAAATATTGAAAATGAATTGGTAAACGAACATTTTTTGAATGTATCTGTAGACGATTGTGTAAAATGTCTACTTGTAGAAAATCGCTTTCTATTCATTTTGTGATAGTAATATGTTGTAAACAGTTGTACGTATTTTTTGTGTCCGATCGCTCTACTGCTTCCACTCCTTATTCTTTATATTTTTGTAATATATGATATTGTGAATTGGTAATCGTCAGACATTAACATCGTTTGGTGCCGGCTCTGTGATCCAGAGGTTAAGTGTTCGCGCTCGAGATAAGAGGTCCTTGGTTCGAGTTCCACGTGCTGGATTGTGGATGCACACTTTTGAGGAGTTTTATGCTAGGACAAACTGGCTGTCCGTTGCTTCTAGGTTTTCGATGTTGGTCTAACATTGATCGATTGATGATTTCAATGAAATGTAATTCATTTCTCAAATATAAAATCTAATATTTGACTGTAAACTTAATTGTTTATGTGTCGATAGGGCGATGACTCATTGGCGAAGGCCTTCGACTTTCAGCCATTAATTCAGCAATTAAATGACTTAGTCAACTGGAAATTATCGTTATCCCTCATACTTAGCGCGTGATTTAATGCCAAGTACACAAATTTGTGTGTGGTAAGTGTGTTTATCTCAGAAATAGTTATATACCCCTGTTGCTCGAACTGAACTAATTGAAATAGAATTAAAATCGGTGGTCTGCTAGCAGTTCAAAGCCTTGTTTATGTATGTATATTTTGTTCATATTTTAAAGGCTGTTGGAATATACTACATGATAAAACAACATTGTTCTTTTCAAGTAGATACATGAGTTGATCAATTATTTGAAAGTTTAGTTTTAAAGGTTTTAGTACATATACATTTGATCAAAGATTAAAGTGACCAATAGTTTCGTTTTACAAGTGTTGTTTATTTCGAAATAATGTGTCTTTATTTACCATAACATTATTTGGTTGTTTGATTAATCGCACGATCCTTTATAGCGTGAATGTATAAACTTTAATCAGCAAGATTTTTTATCGTATAAATTATTTATCATAGCATTAATTTAATTGAAGTGGTTTTGCAGAAACACACTTTATTTGTAGGTTATATTAATCACAAGTGATCTCCGCTTATGTATCACTAAATACCAGGTAGCATTAAATATCTATTGGATTATAGTTATAAACTGCGCATCATGCACCACAACTCCACTAGCTATTAACCTCAAGACCTTCAGAGTTCCACCTAAAACTCTTAACTCATTCATATTGAATGTGAAACAGTTGTTACTAGTGTTTTGTCATGTGATCATCGCGTTGTATCACAATTTAATTGGAGTGAAAATTGTATCATTGAACTCTGGGCCAGTGGTTTTAGTGGTTAATTATTGGCGTTGTATAGATTCGTTAAAGGTGATATTTATTGAATAACCTTCAAGATATCTCGTATAGAAGTTTCTCAGTTTAATTTGATTGAATCGTGAATTTTCTGGAGAAAACGTGTTACAGTCTAAGGGAAAGCAAATACTAAATTATGATTGTTACGCAATTATATAAATTAACTATTTGTTTTCTTTACTTTCCAGTTAAAAACGAAATCAATTAAACTTGAAGCTGCTTTGAATGAATTAATAGAAGATCGTAATACTTTGACAACGACTATCGAAGAGGTTAGTGCTATTACTACAAAGTTGGTTGTTATTTTTACGAGAGCAGTTAGTTTTTTATAACAGAAAAAAATTTAAAAAATCACATATTCTGTAGAAAGTGTTAACTATCCATGCGATAATTGTATTTCCTAAAATGTGTGGTCTTTCCAATACTTTTGAAATTTTCTCATTGGCTGCTCATTTCACATAATTAGGATATTTAATCATCACAAATAACTGGTTATCAGTCTTCTGATAAATCGTTTCTCACTGAAGTGTCTACAAATACCCAATAAAAATTTTCCATCATTGTCTTTGGAAGTTGCTTTCAATCCTTTGTTATTATTGTAACTTACTTTGTCAGTAATCATAATGGTTATTAAAATGTTTCATGCCCATCAAGGAAGAAGGTTTTTGTATAATTTCTCATGTTAATTAGTTTAGCCGGCGAGACTTTAATTTGTGGACGAACCAATGAGTTTAAAGATAGCAAATCTTGGAATTGGACGCGAAATTCATTCATCCACAATGTTAAATAGCATTTTGGCATTATAGCTAATGTTCTTGATGAATACCTTTACTTTAACGTATAATCTTAAATTCTAAATTCTACTCATAATTCCTCATATTACTTTACAACTTTCCTTTAACACTGGTAAGTAGGTGAATTATCTCAAAGTCACCCTAGCGTTTTTCGAAGATCGTCCATAACTTATAGTCCCGCCATTTAACCTTTCTTGGTAAACCTCAACATTTGTTTTCCTTTATATCGGTAGATCACTGTATTAAATTAAAATACACTGGTGAGCACTGGTAAGCAGACTTCAGTATATGTAGTTCATAATGAACACAGTTCTTGAATATCACTCTCTAATTAACTGTAGCTGGCCTCATTATCCTTTTTTATCGAGCCAGTGTCATAGCTGTTACCCTTAACTATTCTTTAAAAAATCAGTTATTAAATAAGTCGCTGTACAGATTTCTCGTTAGGCTACTCAAAAATTAATAATTTGAAATTCAAACTTTCTATAGTTAATTGTTGTAATGAAAAGATCTTTGTTTACTGAATGATAATTATTGATAGTCTACATCAGTTTTATTACTTTTTCGCATTATCAGCTTCGTAAAAACAGAGAGTTTAACAATTGTAATCTGATTGAAACTTCGACTGATAATTCTCTGACAACATCCATCAGTACGGAAAAGAAGGTGAACAATTCGTCATCCATTTCACCGTCACCATCCTCGCCATTATCAACATCAGCGACAACAACTGATGATGCTGATGAACAAAACATGTCCAAATCCGAATTGATACGCTTAGTTGCTAAATTACGTAATCTTGTTGAAGTGGAACGTAATGCATTAAAACAAGAACAATCATTATCAGCCGAGTTAAGAACAAAATTAAACGATACCGACTCACATGATGATCAGAATTATAATTATTCAAATAATAATTGTTCAGAAGAGAACACGGTAAATTTCCTTTTTTTATTATTATTATTATTATTATTATTATTATTATTATTATTATTATTATTATTTTTATTATTATTATTATTATTATTATTATTATTATTATTATTAAAACATTTTAGTCAGGATGTTATTGACAGATTAGATTTAAGGGATCTCGATAATTAAAGGATCTTTCCATTTTCTGTTTGTTTATTTATTTGTGACTCAATGTTACAAATGGACAATAAAATTAATATGCACCACACAAATAAGGGAAAGAATATGGGGGGGAGTGCGTAAATGTCGTCAGAACTATGCCTAATAACGTCTCAAGCCAATGAGTTACACCATCTATAAGATTCGAACTAAAGTTTCAATGAACGGACGAATTCCTGTCCTGTACAGTTTTATTCCCTACCACGTTTTCGTGTTATAAACTGAATATTTCTTCTCTGCTTTTAGAAACCAGTCTAGAGTCCAAATAAAGCCCCTATGTGAAAGTCTCTATGATAAAATTTCGAGTACATGCTCAATCCACCGAACCCAGCGTTTCAAATGATGACACAACTGAGTTGTCGTTCTTCAACTCTCCATCTAGCACTACTTTATATATATATATATATATATATATATATATATATATATATATATATATATATATATATATATACGCTTTTGTGACCATTTGTTTATTGGGACGTAGGTGGAGATAACGAGAAGACAGCGTTCCCTATGTAATTTCTTTCTTATTTTGATGGAGCTCTGAAATCTGACAGTGTATAATGGACTGTTATGGGGAATCCAGTCAGCCATTCCTGCCCCTACTCTAGCCTTTAGTACTATACGACCGCCAATGAAACCGGACAAAGATCCTATAGGGTCTCGCGTTGAACGTGTTTTCTAATTGAGTCAATTCGTTGCACTTCTGGAGTCTTGAATACGGATCCCCAAAATACATTACACATTGATATCAAGACTTTTCAAAAACATACCCAAACCTATCCGTTGTTCAATCTGCATTAGTGTGCAAATGTTGAAGAAAGCCGGTTTGAATGGCATATGTAGTATGCATTTATTGTAAGCATTTACCTCTTCGATCAGGATAAAAGTTCTACTCTAGAAGAGCTGGTGGGTGAATTGAAAATAAATGTAAACAATGAATAGAAACAAAACAAATTAAAAATTAAAGCAAAGTAAAACAAAACCCCGTATCCACAGTCCTATTAGAAGATCTGATCGGAGTCATAAGCCGACCTAAGTTAGACAATACTAAAAAATTAAACGACCGTTTAGTCCTAGGATGGGACACCTCAGGAGCGCTTATTCACAGCCCCTCACATCTGAGTCGAACCATGGATGCGCCCTATTTAGAAGTCCCATACTAGGACAAAACAGCCGTCCAGTTTTTAGTGTCGATCTAACTTAGATAGACTCATGATTTCAGTGAAATTCAACAATCTTCACAGCCTCATACTGATAGCGAATTTGAATTTTCGTCACACTTTTTTGGTAGAACTTTTGTTACCATCAAACTAACTGAATCATAGTTCGTTTTATAAGACTTAAGGTTATAACATATTGGTTAGAAATCAAGTGTTTAAACTAAACTAAACTGTTAATGCTTCAGTTCCAAAAACTAACTCAAATCCGTCATCAATGTCGATCTCCTGGATTTGAACGTAACACCACCTGATTTTGTAATTATGTAACACCATAAAGTTACTAGTAGTAAATCTATTTGTACTGGGTACATCACCAGTCTACTACACTATTTATTTTTGATCCTCTAAATATTTGTTCCTGTTCGTCTACATATTGTCGTATTGTCTTTGTATTTTCTATTTTCTAGTGCTTAATTAATAGTCCTACAGAAACTATAGAAAATGCTATAAACTATCATAATAATTCTGGTGATGATCATTATACCAATACGAAAACTAATTCTCTGCATAATCATCCAAAATGTGGTCTACTAGAAACTGATGATGTCAAATCTGAACAATTAAACAATTGTTTTGATGTAATATCAAAAATTCCAGATTGTATTCCTCAACGTGAAATATCGTCGAATGACAGTGGTTACATTGTTCTATCCAATGGTATACATAAGGAATTAAATGGACAAGCCAATCATGATCAAATTGATAGTAATAATGCTGATGATAATAATTAATATGAAACTGCAATATAAATATGAATTTTTCTATCTATATGTTTTTTCTTTTCTGTTCCTCCGTTTCTGAACTTTTCTGTTTGTTGCTTTCTTTCTTTATTGTGTTAATTTCACTTACAGTCTTCTTTCAACTAATGTTTTGCAAATTTGTAATCAGGTAGGAAAAAGTATAAAAAATAAAAGAGAATCGAAATGAATAATTTCTTCATTTGATCTATCTTCTTGTTTCCTTAATGATTTGTCATATATTTGATAATTTGGGATTTGTTGTAATATTTAATATTGGGTTTATATTCTCTCTCTGTGTGTGTGTGTGTGGACAGTTTTGTGAAACGTGCGTGCAATGTTTTAGGCGCACCTGGTGATTACTGCCACTTGTGAAATTAGTTCTATTTATAATTTATTAAAACAATAATTGATATTGAATTATACTCTTTCTTCATTTGAGTAAAGTAAAGAGAACATATCTAGTTATTGCATAGGTGAATTTAGTCTACAAAAAGTTACTTTGTATTTCTGGTATATTTTCTGTTGTTGTAAATAATATTTTTTTTTGTTGCAATCTATCAATATTTACTGAAGTATGCTCATTCAGAATTCCTTATGGTTGTTTATATTCACTATATAACCATTATACACACGGTAAATTGAAAACGTTTAAGTAGTTGTATACGAAAAAAAGAGATAAGTCAGTTTCACATACTGACTGAAAATATACTGCATTCTATTGATCATCTCTCCAAAAGTGCCTTGAGTTTTTTTTCTTACAAACAGTTTTAAAATATCTACTTCACATGTTTATTATATGAGAGATATAACGGGATGTTTACAAAGCTTTCCTACTGTAATACTACTGGTCTAAAATGCTTAGTGTTTTCTACTGTGGTTATTTTGATTGTAATGATGATTAGTTGTTATTCATTAGGTGATCAGACATATGATCCTTGTTGTATTCATTTCTTTTCTTTATTTTCCTCTAAACATTCATATTTTCGTTTCTTTTTTTAAAAAACAGTGATTTTGTGTGTGTTTTTTTTAAAAAATTTATGGACACGAAAAGCAACTGGAACTAATTTATCTGAGGACTTCATCACTTTTCTCCCTGTCTTTCTTTACCTTTACGTTAAATTATTTGTGGATAGGCTTAGATATGTATCCTTTTTTATTCTTCCACTTCGTTTTTTATTCGTTACATTCTTTTGTTCGTATATTTTTACACTTACTTGAACATTGATAAATTGTACGTGTTATAGCTGAGAAGGTTAATCATAATTAAATTAACTTTTGCGCTATAGTTTAGTAATGACTGAAAAGTTCTAGTGTGATGTATGCTTCTCTTTATATTCTTCAATTTCTTTTTCGTACTCTATGTTTGTGAAATCATTAAATTTTGTAATAAATTTGTTGTTTTTTTGCTGAATGAAATAATTTATTATTTTACGCCTTTTGATTTTTGTTATTTAGGTATTAGGGCAAGTAGTAGTTTAATTGGAAGTTAATCGATCTCTAGTTATATATCTGCTCTGGAATATATTCTAGTCTTTAGTTTAATTATAAACTGAAAAGTCTTTACCTGTTAGAATAGTCGCATTGAAATTACTGTAATTCAGTTTATCTTATCGTAATGAAGTCAAGAAAAATATTGATATTGATTCGTCACAATACAAAGCAATAAAATTTGGAAAGCGTGTTATAAGCAAAATCTGGACTTTTCCCGCCTAATCGTCCATAAGCGTACCATTTAAATTGTGAAGATGTTGCTTAGTGACTAAGACGTTCGACTTTCAGCTACTAAGTCTCGTGTTCGAGTCCTTTACTACCTACTTCGGTTTGAGCGGACGTGTAGTTTGGTTCACATTCAAGTATCGAGTAAATGAGTTAATCTAAAATGCAATTAAATTCTTACTCATGTGGGTTTTAGCTTTGTTAGACTACAGTTCTGGATTTGACAAGTATTCGGTTATAGTTTGACCACCTATATACCTTTTGTCTTTCATTGTAGCTAGTATGAGATAAGGTTGTAAAATAAGCAATGGTTGTATATATAATTTCTGAGATCATAATGAACGCCGAAACTTAAAAGCGAAGTATCCGTTCGTATACTTGACTTTAATCTCTACTTCTAATGTGAAGGTTTGTAGTATAACCCAATCCTGCAAGCTGATGTAGATTAAACAACAGTTAATGATTGAAAGTTTATAAACTTATTTAGCCTATACTTACATTCTTTAGATAATATCAATCAAGTTCAATTCTATTATCAATAATCTAATTAGATATTGTCATGTGAATTCAAATTACTTTTATACCTAATTGTATTACTTCCAAAACTATTTCTCACAATTCTATTTCTTCCTTTTATTTCCCTTAGACGAAACGAACTATGATTGTTCTAATTAGAACTATAAAGTAAAAAATTGCCTAGTTATATGTTGACATATATATATATATATATATATATATATATATATATATATATATATATATATATATATATATATATATATATATATATAGACAAGCAGTATTAATAATGATAATAATTATAACAATAATGTAGACTGTCATAGAAATACTATAAAAATGTATCCTAAATAATTAACATTTATAATAAAACTTGTAAATTTCAAAGTCATATGATAAGAATTGTTCATGATGGTTATTGTGCCAAATGATGACCAGTTTTAAATGTTTATTTCAATTTATCGTATTGTTATAAATATAAACATAACCTAATTGGAAATATTCATTAAGTGAAATAAAAAGAAGGAACATTCTAGTGTAGACTTTGGAATTTCAATACATTGAATATTTATCAATGGTTATTTATTTAGTTATTCGGTATTTTCAATGAATTTAATTAATTAGTGTTGTCAATTATACATACTTCTGTTGATGGAGTTTATTTACCCCAGTGTAATACGCATCAGGATGTGTATTTTGTTTCACGTTTTCATAATTTAAACTCTCTGATTTGTCGATGATCATTGGTTCTGTGTCTGATCATCGGCTCCTTTTAATAATTTCAAAGCTCTATAATGTACATCTAAGATTCAATAAGCTATTTAAGTATAATCAATTGATGTTTTCATTATTGAACTTCTAATTTGTTATCCTGATCTTATTTTACCCATGTCTTCCTTCCCTGCGAATGTCATACTTTGTGTTATATTTTCCAACACCGGTTGGGTAAAACAGATGGAAAGGTAGTCAGTTGATGAAACAGCGCTACATATTGAAGGACAGTTATTTGTTTATCGAAGTGACTTCTATTGTTATAGCATTTTGTTTATTTTGGTCTGTCAGGTGTGTGGCCGTTGTTTCCATGTTTATATTGACTGTTTTCATATCTCACCTTGGACTTGTTTATCCTTTCCCTCATTGGTTAATAGGTTGAGTAGGTTTCATTGTTTATTGACTGTTGCATAATCAGAGTGTCAAGCTCCTAACAATTTTCCGGCATTTTTTTGTTTGCTCTGTCTATTATTTTGACATTTTCTCAATCTAAATAACGTCCATAGTTGTTCACATGGATTGACGTAAGAAAAGTTATGTCGTGACGTTTAACCGCTAGTTGATGCTCAGGTAGATGTCAATAGGTCGGGTGGTCACGTTTTTCTATTTAGTGATTCTCACAGCTGCTGCAGTTGATTTTATAGTTGATGTCTGGTTTCTTTCCGTTGATTGTGGAGAAATTCGAATAATTCACTTCTTACTGAATTATGATCTGGTAATGTCGAAAAAGATAATGAACACTTTGCAATTAAACTATTCAACTCTGATAATAAAACACTTTCAAATTCCTCATCCTAAACTACAAATATTCTTCATCATTCACATATCTTTCTACAGGGTCTGAACGATTGTACAAGGCAACAGCTTATGAAGTAATCAAATATTTTATAGATCAAATTGTAGTAATGATTCTACTATAGTTATCTATTGTCATACATAATAAGATTTACTACACAGCTGAGATGTAATTTGTATTCTTTCGATTCTGATTTGAAATATATTCTCTTTTTTTTAAAAATATTCCCTCATCTATTTTGTCGTAAAATGTTTCGCTTAGTGTTTTTGGATGATTTATTTCCTTGTATCGTATCGTATCATAACAAGCATAATTCAATAGGGCTGTTAATCATTTCTTACTTAAGTATTCAATTCTTAGTGTATTTCACTAAAAATGAATGTCAATTAATTGTTTCTTCTTAAAGATTTTTTTTTCTAATATTATGAAATATAGTAAAATGCAACTAAGTATAAGGTAGCATGAAGAATAATTGGCAGTATTGATTATTAACTAGTCATTTGACTTCTAAAACATTTTCTTTTCGATTAAAAATGTTTTATTAGGTAATTATAATGTTAAAACAAACAGTTTCGAGGCTTACTTCTATAAATAAATAAACGTGAATGATAAAACATTATAGCCGAGATATAAATTTACTAAATGGTAATTAATTTCCTTTTTTCGATAAAAGCATGAAATGTCTACGTCAATGAATTCATTTAGTATTGTTTACTTGAATCTTCTCAATTACTCAATCTATTATTATTATTATTATTACTTATTTATTTATTTTAACACATAGATATTGGTACAAGGAGGTACCAAATACATATGCGCCACACAAATCTCATTCGATATGTGTGAGGGTTGTGATACTGCCCGGGTGCCCAAACCGAAGCAGGTGGTTTTCTTAGGGGACCACTCCCCGAGCCTTCGACCTGAAGGTCTGATCCACAAGGCAGTGAAGCATCGTCAGGGGATGCAGTCCCATGAAAGCCGGTGACCAACAATCAGTTCATACGCCATTTGTTCTCTCAGGATACTGGAGCCCATGTCCAACATTGATTTGGTTTGGAATCCGGTTAAAGCGCCGGACATTCGCTTTTTGTCCTCTCATTTTCGTAAACAACACCCGTGGTGCGAGAAGGCAGTGAGTAGGACTTCCGTGGCAGAGGCTATATACGCGTGGCCATGTGAGAGCATTTCGAGAGGGAGAGTGGACTCTACCCACTCTCGGCCGTACCAGGGCATTTGGGGGCAATCTTTTATTGGCATATATGCATCCTGTGTGGATTGTCTCGATATTGCTTTAAGCCACATGTTTTACAAACAAAACTGGATGATGGTTAGCTGTGAAATTTAGGACGCGTGTTCCGTTCTATTTAAGACTCACCAGTTGGAATATACCTGCATCTCAAAATTGATGTTCACTCTGAGACTCAAATCAGTATAAAATGATTCTAAACTCCTTCAATTAGTTAATTTCTAATCAATTTCTACAGTTGAATCAACTATTTATCATTACGTTTAGAATAAATAGTAAGAGTAGAAAAAAGTTACTTACATTCTTTCAGACTACTTGGCCACTCCGACTCTGAGTGGACGAGCGGTCTAAGGCGCTAGACTCAACAGTGTTCTTCTGGGTGTTCTGGTCCACGATGTGGGCGTGGGTTTGAATCCCACTTTCGACACATACTTTGTGTGGCGCATATATATTTGATGCCCTCTTTTACCAATATTTATGTGTTCAAATAAAATGAAATAAATACATTCTTTCAGAATTACGGAAATTTTTTATTGTTACATCAAATATAGAAACACATATTATATATTCCACTCATATCTCTTCTTCTGTTATAATATTTAGAAGATATAGCTTTAATTGTTCAGATAGCTATTTAAAACAATACAGTTCGTTTTTATATTAAGTTTTCTATTAATTTATCATAATAAATGTTTCTTACTATGTTGTTTATGAATCCAATTAGCTTCTTCTTGAAATGTCAGCTTGTCTAAAATTACTTTTTGTTTGTAATCATTGAAATGTTTTATTCACTGATTATTATTATAAATGAAACCATCCTCTTCATTACATTTAAATGAAGATGATTTGTTCGTTTTTGTTTTTGCTGAGGAAACGATAAATATTTTCATTAGTATGCTAAACATACTATATGTCATAAGCCATTAATCAGTATTAAGTTAAATTATTAAAAAGCATATTTAACTACAAGGAATATTTATATAAATAGAAGATTAAATAAGCAAAGATGGATATTGGCTAGCAGTGGAATCTAGGACGCGCGTTTCGTCCTATTTGGGACTCGTCAGCCGGATGTACCTGTATCTCAGGGTTGATGTTCACTCTGGGATTCAAACCCAGTACCATTCGCTTCAAATGCCATCGCGTTATCCACTCAGCTTCAGGGTCCTGATAGCCACTTGTTTGTGTAATGGGGTTAATTTAAATTCACTTGGTATTGTTTAGCTTGTATCTTCCCATTGATGTTTAAGACTGCGATTGATCAGTCTGTCATTGGCATATGTGCATATTGTGCTTATACCTTGATATTGCCTTAATTCACAATCCTTTATGAGCAAAGATGGATAGTGGCTAGCAGTGGAATCCAGGACGCGCGTTTCGT